TTCTTCATGAACGACCAAACTATTTTGGCGGGCCGTCTGGTCAAAGAGCTGTGGAGGGCACTATCAGGATGCAGCCCCATCTTGAAGGCAGTGATGGCCATGGAGTCATTGCAAGCATCGTCTACCAGATTGAAACATTCCCAATACCGCGCCGAGTAGGCACGAAGGGTTTCCCCCAGTTGAATCTGCATTGCCCAGAGGGAATCGGCTTGCTTTGGCTGGACCTCATTAGTGATAAACCTTGCCCTAAGGGATTTTCAAAGTTGGTGGAAGCTTTTAATTGAAGCCGGCTCCAACTTGTAATACCACTTGACAGCTAGTGGTCCCAAACTGCTCGAAAATATTCTACACATCAAAGCCTCGTCATCTGCATGCAGTGTCATGGCTTGCTTGTAATGTCAGATGTGATTGGTGGGGTCTGATTTACCGTCGTACAAGGTGAATGACGGTGCTTTGAATTTCTTGGGTAGCACTGCCTTTACAATCCGTCGTACAAAAGGATCGTGTTGATCTTTATCTGAACTGTTTCTTCTTCGCTTATGCCTTATACGGGGACTCTCTTCGGAAGAACTGGAAGTTTTAGAACGTCCCTTCTTCTTGGGCTCCGGGAATAATGGGTCGGAGTCGCTATCAGTGTCTTGTTGTCGGGCTCGAGATCGTCGACCACCTGCCATCACAGGTCATTCTGGATCTTGGCGTACAGCTTGTTTGGACTTTGCCACCTCTAAGGCCAAATCCTGACGGAGACGTTTGTTCTCTACGATCATGTTCTCCAACCTCTGTTCATTTTGCTTTGCTTGCTCCATAATCGCCTGCATTGCCTCATGCTCTGGAGTCGAGGGTGAGACGAAGTTCAGAGAGCGCCTTGCAGGGATAGTCTCCGGTTGAAGCATGTTTGTTGGAGTGAGGTCGTCTCTCTACGTGGTTTCATCAGTAACTATAGGAGGGTCTTCCGTCATGCCCGCCATGGATGTGTTTGAGTATTCCCACAAACGGCGCCAGTTTTGGGGAAATGGTTTGGAAATACTCTTCGGATCTTGGGGAACGCTCGTGATCCTCTACTAGTCACCTGAAAAGGAACAAACACCCCGGTCGGGGGTGCCGGAATTAGGACTCCGACGGGCAAATTAGTATCTGCACTCAAGATTACTTGTATTCTAAGTTAAGCTGAATAGTTCTCACATCCCTTTCTAGAACTGAAGATCTTGTATTTATAGTATTCTTTTTGGGCCTTGGGGCCTGGCCCAACCCTAGTCCTTTACTTGTGCTTCTACTCGGCTCTTACTTCACTGGAAAGAATGCCGGCTACTTTACTCGGCCCTTCAATTGAATAGGGTTAATGCCGAATAGAGGTTATGTTTTGGACCGGACTGGTCCACTCCTGTTGATCCAAGATTATTCGGCTCCCACAAAGGGCATTGTATTTATTTATTTACTTATTTATTTTTGAATTTGATATTCTACATGCTATAGATTCATGTATTTCTATATCATTGAATGTATAACTTGCTGCAGACACCCCATTTTTGACTGACCTTAAGACTCAAACATCACCGATTGAGCGCTCGGTGACGTTGTATATCGCGCTCGTTCAGAAGTCTCAGAGTCGCGGTCGTGAGCCCTGCCTCCGGACTTCCGAACCCTCTTCTGTGCCTTGCCTCGGTTTGCGAACCAGACTCGGTTTTTCTCTATTTCTTTTCCTGAGGGGAGGGAGAGGTCTTGTAGACCATCTCTCAGTGGCCGTGGGCTACGTTTTATGGTCGTAGGCCATTTTGCCCATTTCGGGGCCCGGTTTCTGGTTTTTCGGGACTGTTGGCCGTATGCCTCGGTTCGGGACCGCTTAACCATCTCTGTTTGCCCTAAATTTTGGCATACATCTTATTTACTCCCTTTCAAGGGACGCTGGGGTCTGAGAAACCCACTTCGTGGCCGAACGCCACTTTCGGTGCTTGACAGCCCATTTTCGGGACCCCGAACGCGTGTTTTAGCCCCCGAGCATTCGTTTTGCATTGGTTTTCGTTCATTTTTGGAAGGTGCCTCTGTTTCATCACCAAGAAGGTCACTGGAGGGTGGGAGGGCAGCAATTATCTTGGCAACTAGTTATATTCCATTTTCACCCTCTGACGCCCGTTTTTCGCGCTTCCGAGCCAATGTTGAACACCTTGGGGCCACTTTCTTCAACCCCAAACCACATATTTGTGTTGTACACACATGGGAGGACCCTAAAAGTTTATGGCCAGCCAGAAATTCCAGTTGACCCTTTTGAACCCCTCTTAAAAATAGCTTGTTCTCTCTCCTGTTTTAGAGTTTCCAAATTCGAACCACAGGGTTGTGAAGAGGAGAGTTGGGAGGCCACCTTTTTGTGGTGGCCGGCCACTAAGTGAACTTGACCCTTTTGACCCCTAGCCGGCCGGCTAGGGGGGGTGGCCGGCCATGATCCTCTCAAAAGGGACTTTACAGCTGTATAGCTGTTTCCCCCAGAAAATATCTCAATCCGGGGGATATTTCTTGGGGGAAAGCCTTGGTCCTTTTCCCCCACCATTCCCTTCCATGCTCCCTCTCCTTTTGGTCCTTATAACCAGCTGCAAGCATTGTTCTTAGAGGTTGGAAAAATTGGTCTTCAAGCTTGCATACAAAAATCCCTCTCTATCTCTCTCATTTCCTTGGAAAACCTCCAATTCCAACACCACCATTTCTTCTACACCACCAACCTCCACCCTTCCATCCTCCATTCCAGAAGTTTGAAGGTGTTCTCCAAGGCCTAAGGAGCCACGAACTCAAGCCAAGAGGCAACCAAAGTCAAGCCTTCAAGGGTAAGTAGTATTTTTCCCTTTTTAAGCTTATTTTGGTATCTTTTCTTAGCCATACATGCTTTTTGTTTTGAGCTCCGGCCCTAACTGAAAGTGGCCTTTTTTTGAGCTCATTTTATTGTTTCATTAAGGGCTCAACCCTGTTTGAGCCCCCCATCTTGCACTTGCTTCAATATCTCCCTTGAATGCCATTTTCTTGCATGCTTTGGCAGCCCATTACGCTTCCATTTTTGGGCGTTTTACAAAACTAAAAATAGGCTTATTTTGAGCCCCTCTTCAACATTGAAGAAGGGCTCAACACTTTTTGGGACCTCCATGCTATACTTGCCTTTATATCCCTCTTTGGTCCCCATTTCTTGCATGTTTTGGTAGCCTATTATGCTTCGGTTTTTGGCCTTTTTACAGAACTAAAACTAGTCTTATTTTGGCCCATTCTTCATGTTTCATCAAGGGTCTTTGGCTGTTTGATGAATATTTTGTAGACTTTGTGTTATAGCCACTTTTGAGCCTCATTTTGCATTGCATTTCTAGCATGTTTGTATACTGTTTTGGGGTTTTTATAGTTCTGTAAATATGCATATTTTTGGTCCCTCTTCAATGTTATAGAAGGGCATTTTTCATTTTGGGCTGTGCATATACCACTTGCCTCTTTGGCCACCTTTTGGCCCCTTTTCTTGCATAAGAGCTTAGCCATATCTATGTTTGTTTTTAGGGTTTTTACAGTTCTGTAAATGTGTTTATTTTGGGCCCCTCTTAAATGTTGTTGAAGGGCCCTAACCTGTTTGGGGTCAGCAGCTGTGAGTTGCTTCATAACCTCATATTTAGGGCCATTTTGGCATGCCATTGTTGCCCTATCTTTGCTGGCTGTTTGGCCATGATTTGTACTAATAAAATGCTTATTTTGAGGCTGCCTTGCTTCTGTCTTTTCATCTCATGTACCAATTATGCATGCTTTGTATAGCTGTAGTTCATTCTATGCGCCTAATTTGCATTTCGGGAGAGATTCCATGCATCGGGTGTGTTTTCGCCTCATTTCGGGGCTGTTTTCCCCCACATTTCAGTGCTTAAATTCCATTAGCATGTTTGCATACCATTTCCATGCCACTGCATTGCATATGTCATTGCCTCGGTTTGCGTGTCCGCGTGCACGCATTTCGAGGCACTTCATTTTCATCCATCGGCATCCTATGTGAGTGTGGCTGAGGCTCTCTCATGTTGGTATAATCCCATATCATTTTTCATGTCATTTGCATTGCGTATGCCATTGCCTCGGTTTGCGTGCCCGTGTGCACGCATTTCGAGGCACTTCATTTTCATCTATCGGCCTCTTATGTGAGTGTGGCTGAGGCTCTCTCATGTTAGTATAAGTCCATATTGCATTCTATATGCCATTTCCATGCCATTGCATTGCATATGCCATCGCCTCGGTTTGCCTGCCCTTGTGCACGCATTTCGAGGCACTTTATTTTCATCCATCGGCATCCTATGTGAGTGTGGCTGAGGCTCTCTCATGTTGGTATAAGCCCATATCATTTTTCATGCCATTGCATTGCATATGCCATCGGCTCGGTTTGCGTGCCCGTGTGCACGCGTTTCGAGGCACTTCATTTTCATCCATCGGCCTCTTATGTGAGTGTGGCTGAGGCTTTCTCATGTTAGTATAAGCCCATATCACCTTTCCATGTCATTTGCATTGCGTATGTCATTTTCTCAGTTTGCGTGCCCGTATGCACGCATTTCGAGGCATCTCATTTTTACAGCATAGTGCATACTAGGTTGTATCTTAGATCGCATTCAGTCATTTTCCTCGATTTGCATGCCCGTGCGCACGCACTTCGAGACATCTCATTTTCATAGCATTGTGCATGCTAGGCTGTATCTTAGTTGCATTCGTGCATATCATGCATATTGCATTGTGTTCGGAATAGGAGTTAGCCCGGGCACGGGAAACGAGGTGCATTTCGTACTCCGAGTGACGGAATACGTCTCAATTCCCCAGTCACCGACACTCCGGATTATCCATGATGGAGTTAGGTTTTAGCTGTGTTTTCATGTGCATTCATCCTATATTGAATTGTGCATTTCGACTCCTCGGCCATCATGCCTCGGTATGCGTGATTGGTGGCACGAGGATCGAGGCATGCATATATCAGTGAAAATACATTGCTATGCCCCTTTCCTGCTCTCTGCATGTCATTCGCATTGAATCAATTTGAAGAACTCGTCAAAAACAATGTTCTCAGTGAATTTGTTGCCATCACTAAGGAAACATTCCTTGTTTTGGGGGTTCTAAGTGGAAAACTTCCAAATTTTTATTCACATAATCAAACATCTGAAGTTGCTGCTGAAGACATGGAGACTTGGTGCTGGGTCCATGTTGGTCCAATGGTCGATTTAGCTATAAAGTGGACAGCATTGAGGAGTAATCTATACATTTCTAAAATATTTGAGTGGAAGAACGGAAATAAGGGAAATTCTCTTATCCAGTATTCAACAATGAGTTCCTTGTTATGGGCGATTTCAGCTGCCCTGCACATGCTTTCTGGTGTGCTAGATAGAGTGATCCCAGAGGATGCAATCAGCCTGCCTGGCGGCCATTTGCCATGGCTACCAGAGTTTGTCCCTAAGATTGGACTTGAAATTATTAAGAATGGTTTTCTGAGCTTTTCAATGACAAATGCTACAGAATATGGATTTGATCCCGTGCAAGGTAGCTCTTTCGTTGAGTATTTGTGTCATTTGAGACATCAAGGTGAACATGAAACTTCAGTGGCTTCTGTTTGTTGCCTTCATGGTTTAGTTAAGGTTGTTGTTTCTGTTGATAAGTTGATCCAACTGGCTAAGTCTGAGATTCTAACTCCATCATCTCAAGACCTCATTATGTCAAGAGAAGGTTTGATTCTTTCTGGTGGGATAGTTAAGTCGTCAATTCTTGAATTCAGAAGTGTAATAACTATTTTCATGAAGTTAATTTCTTCTGAGTGGCAATTGATGCAGTCAATTGAGATATTTGGCAGAGGCGGCCCAGCTCCAGGGGTTGGACTGGGTTGGGGTTCTGTTGGTGGAGGGTTTTGGTCTAAAAATGTTTTGTTGGCACAAACAGATGTAGGATTGCTTATTCCCTTGCTTGAAATCTTCCAAAATGTATCTGCTACAGATCTGCATACAGGTGAAGAGATGACCTTTACTACTCAAAGGATAAATTCTGCATTTGGTGTATGTTTAATTGTGGGACCAAGCTTTGGATTTATAATGGATAAGGCATTGGATACCTTGCTCCAAGTCCCTGTTCTAAAGTATTTTGATTTCTGTATTCACCATTTTATTAGCCTTAATAAGGGATTAAAACCATTTGTGTGGAAGTACAAAGAAGAGGACTACCAGCTTTTCAGTAAGATTTTGGCTTCTCATTTCAGAAACAGGTGGTTGACAGTAAAGAAGAAGAAGCAGAAAGCAGTGGATGGAAGTCGTGGTGTTGGGGAGAAAATGTCTAAGAAGGGTGGTAATCTGGATACTATTCATGAGGACTTGGATACATCAAGTATGACCAGTCAAGATCTCTGCACTTCTTTGTCAGTAGAATGGGCTCATCAGAGACTGCCTCTTCCCATGCATTGGTTTCTCAGTCCAGTCTCAACTATCAATGGCAGCAAACAAGCTAATCTTCCTAGCACTTCTAACATAATAAATCCAGTGGAGGACCTCATTGATATTATTGAAGTTGCTAAAGGTGGACTTTTCTTTCTTTTAGGTATTGAAGCAATGTCTTCATTTGTTTCCACTGAGATCCAGTCACCAATTTGGAGTGTACCAATAACTTGGAAATTGCATTGTTTGTCTGTAATCTTACTTGTTGGTATGGGCGTGCTTGAAGAGGAGAAGAGTAGGGATGTGTATGAAACTTTGCAAGAGCTCTATGGGAAGCTTCTTGATGAATCATGGTCAAGTAAAAGCAAAGAATTCTTGGCAGAAACTGGAGAAAATTACAGTGTGGAATTCCTGAGGTTTCAATCGGAGATACACGAGAGCTATTCTATGTTTATGGAAACTCTTGTGGAGCAGTTTGCTGCTATATCTTATGGTGATGAGATTTATGGTCGACAAGTTGCAATTTATCTACACCGTTGTGTTGAATCTTCTGTACGCCTTGCAGCCTGGAGTGCACTATCTAATGCTCGTGTTCTTGAACTTTTGCCTCCTTTGGAAAACTGTTTTGCCAAAGCTGAAGGGTACCTTGAACCTGTTGAGGTAACACTGGAAACTAATTCTTGCTAGTACATTTTTTGTTTTAAAAAAAGGCACCGACTCTGCATGTGCTAATATGTGGTACTTTATTAGTTAGATGTCCCAAGGACAACAAACTTCACAGTATCAAAGTACGGAGTTTAATTTTCAGTCTTTGTACAGGATAATGAAAAGATTTTGGAGGCTTATGTGAAGTCATGGGTATCTGGTGCCCTTGACAGAGCTGCAACTCGAGGAACAGTGGCTTTTACTCTGGTTCTTCACCATCTTACATGTTTTATGTTTGGCTATTGCAATGATGATAAGTTAACACTCCGAAATAAGCTTGCCAAGTCTCTCCTGCGAGATTACTCTCGTAAACAGCAACATGAGGTATGAATTTTTTTTTAACAACTATTAAACTATATATGCATCTGATCACATGAGAGATTTTTTCTTCATGCATGATAACCTGCTGACTTTGAAAACATGTTGCTTGTATTTGTGTGCATTTGGTAAGTGTGACATGCTGCTAAGTAACTGTGTTTGTGTACAATTGTAAAATTGTGAAATCATATGCATCTATTTGATTTGAAGTCACACTCACTTGTAGGCTCCTGTTCATGGGTCTTGCCAGTGTAATTTGTGGCTTTAACCATGGAGTTGTCAAAGCTACTCTTCACCACTGATAAGTGTGAGATTATATTCTCTCTCTCACACACACACATATCTATACTATTATTAAAAGTGAACAATTCACTTGGTATCGAAACTTTGTTGGCTTCTCCTTATGCCACGTGTCCTCATTTTCTTATTTGAAATAAAAAAATTTAGATAGTTGACACTAGTAGGACTTGAACCTTAGACCTTAGGTTTAATAAACAAGGCTCTTACCACTCGCATGACATACCATATATTGTAAAAATTGTGTTTTATTTTACTTGTTTTAATTGACATGCATTGAGTGTGTCAGCTACTAGTATATATATATATATATATTATTGTATGATCAGATCAAAGGGGGAAACACAACTTCTGATGATTGAGGAACCAGTCATATGCAAGATAGTTAATGTGTGGCATCATGGACATAACCATCTTCTCATTTTCTCCTTTGTTTGTAGAAAGCCCCATTTTGTTGGTATTTATACTTGCCCACTTCTGGTGGAATGTAATAACAGGGCATGATGTTGGATTTTATTCAATACCAGAAGCCTGGACAAAGGGAAGGTTCATCCGTAAGTATGGGCGATAAATAAAAGGGAAGAAAGACGTGGGGTTGGAAGACATGCATCACACACACGCACACTTATTACAGTTGTGCCCTCGCGCAGAGGGTCCGAATAAATATACAGTCCCGAATAAAAGAATATTACAGTCCAAATATTACAGTCCGAATAATATACAAATTCCTAATTAATTAACAAATTAACTAAGAAAATTGTAAAACTGGCGTGCAAACCAGGGACTGCCTTGCTCCTGATGAATAATGCATGTCTGGGCTGCCTTGCGCGGAAATCCACTGGGATGCCCCAATTAACCTCTGTTTAAACATTTTTTTGAAATGCGCGCCAAACTCCAAAAAGTTGCTGATTCTTCATTTTGCTGCAACAGAGAGCAGGAAAGGGGCATGGCAATGTATTTTCACAGATATATGCATGCCTCGATCCTCGTGCCACCAATCACGCATATCGATGCATGATGGCAGAGGAGTCGAAATGTGTAACTCGATATAGAATGAATGCACGTATAAACACAACAAGAACCTAACTCCATCATGGGTAATCCGGAGTGTCGGTGACTGGGAATTGAGACGCGTTTCGTTACTCGGAGTACGAAACGCACCTCGTTTCCCGTGCCCGGGCTAACTTCTATCCCGAACACGATGCAATATGCATGATATGCATGAATGCGACTAAGATACAGCCTAGCATGCACAATGCTATGAAAATGAGATGTCTCGAAATGCGTGCGCACAGGCACCCAAACCGAGAAAATGACAGAATGCGATCTAACATACAACCTAGTATACACTATGCTGTAAAAAGAGATGCCTCGAAATACGTGCACACGGGCACGCAAACCGAGAAAATGACATACGCAATGCAAATGACATGGAAATATGATATGGGCTTACACTAACATGAGAGAGCCTCAGCCACGCTCATATAAGAGGCCGATGGATGAAAATGAAGTGCCTCGAAACGCGTGCACACGGGCATGCAAATCGAGGCAATGGCATATACAATGCAATATGGCTAAAATGGCATATGGAATGCAACATGGACTTATCCTAACATGAGAGAGCCTCAGCCACACTCACATAAGAGGCCGATGGATGAAAATGAAGTGCCTCGAAACGCGTGCACACGGGCACGCAAATCGAGGCAATGGCATATGCAATGCAATAATGGGCTTACACCAACATGAGAGAGCCTCAGCCTCACTCACACAGAAGGCCATTAGATGAAAACAAGACAACTCGAAATGCGTGCACGCGTGCACGCAAACCGAGAACCGACCCTCAGGCACCGAAATACCACTCTAATGAAACATGGCAAAGACATGGAATATGACATGCAAATATGCAAAAAAATCAGTAGCAGAATGAGGGGGGAAAACAGCCCCGAAACCAGGCGAAATGACACCCGATGCATTGATTCTCTCCCGAAACATGAAATTTAGCGCATGAAATGGCCTATAGCTATGCAATGCATGCATAATTGATACATGGAATGAAAAGACAGAAGTAAGGCAGCCTCAAAATAAGAATTTTTACAGTTCAAAGCATGGCCAAACAGCAAACACAAATAGGGAAAAAATAGCATGCAGAAATGACCCTAAATATGAGATAATGAAGCAGCTCACAGCTTCTGACCCCAAACAGGTTAGGGCCCTTCAACAACATTGAAGAGGGGCCCAAAATATGACATTTTTCAGAACTGTAAAAACCCCAAAAACAAACATAGCTATGGCTAAGCTTTTATGCAAGAATTGGACCGAAAAATGGACAAAGGAGCAAGTGGTAGATGCAAAGCCCAAACAGAAAAATACTCTTCTATAACACTGAAGAGGGGCCAAAAATATGACTATTTACAGTTTATGGCAGCCCCAAAAACAGTATATAAATACACTCAAAATGTCATGCAAGATGAGGCTCAAAAGAGGCTATAACACAAAGTATACAAAATATTCAACAAACAGCCAAAGAACCTCAATGAAACATGACAAGGGGGTCAAAATATGGCTGTTTTTAGTTCGGACCAAAGTCCAAAAACAGCAACATCAGGGGCTGCCAAGGCATACAAAAATGGGACCAAAAAGAGGACATAAAGGAAAGTACAACATGGAAGTCCCAAACAGTATTGAGCCTTTCTTCAATGTTGAAGAGGGCCTCAAAATAAGCCCATTTACAGTTTACATCAGGCTCCAAAACAGATCACACATAGGCTAGAAAAAGCATGCAAAATATTGACATACAAAGAGGTATTGAAACAAGTGTGAGGTGGGATTCTCAAATAGGGTTGAACCCTTCAACAAACATGTAGAAAAGCTCAAAATAGGCCTAGTTTCAGTTAGGGTCGGAGCCTAAAACCATAAGCAAGATGGCTAGAGGAATGGTGCAAAAATGAGCTAGAAAAGAGGGAAAGTGGACTTACCCTTGAAGACCAATGCTTTTGTTGCTTCTTGGACCAACTTTGATGAATCTAAGCTTCTGGAATTCCTCCCCTTGCTTCTGGAATGGAGTGGTGGTGGTAGAGCTTGATGATGATGAAGAAATGGAGCCAAAACTTGAAGGAAATGGAGAGATATGTATCTATATCTTCAAAGCAATTCTTGTTACCCTTTCTCTTGAGTTGGGAGGCCAACTATATAGGAAAGAGAGGGAGAGAAGAGTCTAGGCAAAAGTGGAGGGAAATGAGGCCTCTTTTCCCTCCAAAAGGGTCCCCCGGATATAGATATTTTCGGGAAAAAACCAAAGCACAGCTGGAATGTACTCAACCTGAAGAAGCAGGCCAACCTGACATTTTGGCTGCAGGTGGCCGGCCGGCCACCCCCCCTAGCCGGCCGGCTAGGGGTCAAAATGGTCAAGTTGATTTTCTGGCCGGCCACCACAAATAGGTCTCCTTCCAGGTGCCCTCAACACAACCCTATGGTTCAAAATTGCAACTTGTAAAACAGGAGAGAGAATAGGCCATTTTTAGGAGGGGTTCAAAAGGGTCAAGCAACATTAGTGGCCGGCCACAAACTTTTAGGGTCCTCCCATGTGTGTACAACACAAATATGTGGTTAGAAGTTCAAGAAGATAGTCCAAGGGTGGTCAACATTGGCTCGGAATTGAGAAAAACGGGCGTCGGAGGGCACCGGAGGATATATAACTGGTAGATAAAATAATTGTTGGCCTCCCACCCTTCTACGGCCTTCCTAGTGATGAAACAGAGGTACCTGCCAAAAATGAACGAAAACCGATGCAAAACGAATGTTTGGAGGCCAAAACACGCAGTTCGGGGCCCCGGAAACTGCCTGTTAAGCACCGAAAGTGGTATTCGACCACGAAGTGGGTCTCTCAGACCTCAGTGTCCCTCAAAAGGGAGTAAATAAGATGTATGCCAAAATCCGGAGTGATAGGAGATGGTTAAGCGGTCCCGAACCGAGGCACACGGCCTGACGGCTCCGAAAACCGGGAACCGGGCTCCGAAATGGGCAAAATGGCCTACAGCCACAAAATGTAGCCTACGACCACTGAGAGATGGTCTACGGGACCTCTCCCTCCCCTCAGGAAAAGAAACAGAGAAAATCGAGTCTGGTTCGCAAACCGAGACAAGGCACAGAAGAGGGTTCAGAAATCCGGAGGCAGGGCTCACGGCCGCGACTCTGAGACTTCTGAATGAGCACGATATGCAGTATCACCGGGCGCTCAACTGGTGACGTCTGAGTCTCAAGGTCGGTCAAAATGGGGTGTCTACAGTTGCCCCTCTTTGACAGAACTCGAAAGTCATAAGTGATGGGATTGAATGTCAAAGCCCAGAGACGACCCATTTTTGACAAGGCCGAAGACTCAGACAAACATACGAAATAACAGAGATGTGCCCGCAGGCATGCCCGCAGGCAGGGGCAAAATGCAAATGAAAATGCAAGAAGCCGAACATAACTTATGATCATGCAAAGAAACAAGGGGACGTATCCCGGTATTTAAGGACGTATCCCGGTTTAGGGACGTATCCCAAGCTTTAGGGACGTATCCCAAGATTAGGGACATATCCCAAGAGGTTTAGAAAATAAGGAGAAACATAGGGACGTATCCCGGTGGTCCGCGAGGAATGAGAAACATAGGGACGTATCCCGGTGGTCCGCGAGGAATGAGAAACATAGGGACGTATCCCGGTGTTCCGCAAGGAATGAGAAACATAGGGACGTATCCCGGTGTTCCGCAAGGAATGAGAAACATAGGGACGTATCCCGGGTGTTTCAGAAAGGTACGAGCATTGGAACGTATTCCACTTTTAACCGAAGCGGGAGAAACATAGGGACGTATCCCGGTGTTTCAGAATGGTGTGAGCATTGGAACGTATTCCGAACACTTTTAACTGAAGGGGGAGAAACATAGGGACGTATCTCGGTGTTTCAGAATGGTGTGAGCATTGGAACGTATTCCGAACACTTTTAACTGCAGGGGGAGAAACATAGGGATGTATCCCGGTGTTTCAGAATGGTGTAAGCATTGGAATGTATTCCGAACGCTTTTAACCGAAGCGGGAGAAACATAGGGACGTATCCCGGTGTTTCAGAATGGTGTGAGCATTGGAACGTATTCCGAACGCTTTTAACCGAAGAGGGTCTAACCCGTCGCACGCGCGAGGAGAAAGAATGATAATTGCAAGTGAATTAGTGCATAAAAATGCAACTAATGGGCATAACAATGCAAGATAGATGTGCATAATCAATGCAATGAATGGGTATAACAATGCTAGTGAAGTGGGTGCATAACAATGCGATTGGAACGTGCATCACAATGTAAGCATGAGAAGTGCATAACAATGCGGGTGGAAGGATGCATAACAATGCAAGTGGAATGTGCGTGACAACGCATATTTGAAACAAAATGCCAAATAAGGGAATACAAGCCTTAAGTAGACCAATTTCCAAACGCAACCTC